GACTGCATCCAGTCAAATATATTATTAAGAGCCTAGTTGTTTGAGAAAGTAGAAAAGACGATAAAGGCGGATATTCAAGATTGCTGTATAGGATATGAAAGAATGTAATGGATCGATTCCTACATTTCATTGCATTTGCTCCCCAGAATGGCCCCTCCAGGCTACTGTCCTCTGATACCATTAGTGTGTGTGGTGCGTTAGGTGTGTGTGATGCAGGTGTCGGGTGACGTAAAGGACAGTACGTCACATGTCTGGTGTACGTCTCCCTTAACAGTTATAGCTTTGCAAATAACAAGCAATGACAGTGAATAAACACTTCTAATCATTGCAGTTAAAGCCTTTTCATCTAAGTCCATTGAAGTGACTAAACTGTGCAACAGACATAATCAGCAAGTAAGCAATCAGTAAACTTCTCACGTCTTCTCATTACCAGTAAGGTTGTAAGACCAGTTTGTAAAAGAACAAAAGCAGAAACCCCTCGAGAATGCAACAAAAGTACAAGAGAGGAATAATATGTGCAACACAATAGACCTGTCAAACCTGAGGGTTCAAACCAACAAAAGAAAGGAGGGAGGCTTATAGAGAGAGGGCATTAAGAGAAGTGAGACGTGTAAGACATTTGGAAGTAATACAAAAACAAGATAAATGGAAATGTGCGGGAGACGGCAGAGAGAAGGTGGGATTAGCAGGGTTTTTATTATCTCACTGTAGAGATCAGAGACTTGTGCTAAGGAGGGATTTGATCTGAAGAGAAAGATACATTCAGGCTGCTCCACAACAAAGGAAGCATGCAAAAGAAAAGACTAAAAGATAGGAATTGATTGATGACGTTTCACAAAGACAGAGATTAGGGTGGTCCTTAGTGCTATGTACATTTTCAAATTCATTTATTTTAAGCTCCAACCGCCGGAATTTGTTATGATAGTGAAGAAAACTCTCCTGGTGAATTGTATTCAAATTCCAACAACATTTACCCCTCCCTCCTCAACCTTGAAGGTTAGCCTCACGTAGGGTGGTCCTTCAAATTGAAAGTCGGAAAGTCTAAGCTCCAACCCCCAGAATTCATTCTATTAGTCAAGAAAAGTCTCCTGGTGAATTTTATTCAAATTCCAACAACATTTACCCCAGGGCTCAAACACTTTCTCACCAATGATTTTCAATGACTTCTCCATGACCTTTACCTCATTTTCCATGACCAAAGAAATGACTCTTTCTCAGCGGAACCACTGAAAATGGTTTATTTTAACATGGAACAGGAAAATAAGGTCTGCATATGAAACATGTTGTGCCTATCTAAAACAAATGAAATAGGCTTACTAGCTTCTACACGCTAAATATTTATATATATATTTGATGCAACTTTAGTTACATTTCCATGACTTTTCCAAAACTTTGGGAAAAATATTGTTTTCCATGACTTTTCCAGGTTTTTAATGACCGTAAGAACCGTGTTACCCCTCCTTCATCGACCTGGGCATCGAGCAGGACTACTTTAACATGGCATTACGTGCTACATTAATATGGAGAGCCTTCTCAGGTATTTCATTCTCTAGAATTGTAAAAACACATAATCCCATCTGGTTCTTTTATAACAATAAATATGGACCAGTGCAATATCCAAATCATTCAAAGTAATTGCAAATAGTTATTAACAACTCTTGAGCTTTTTTCTATTCATAACTGGTGGATTCATTCTGCAAATCTCTAAATTCTAATGCAGGGAGGATCACCTTTCATTTAAAAAGGGGTTCACTTATTAGCTGATGTCGGTGGAGAACGTTATCTAACACTCCTGTGGGCGTTTAGTTGAGATCTGTGTAGAGCACATGACTCACACCCTTTCCAGACACATCAAACCATTCAGAGAATCTCTATGGATTGGAAGCATATGCTTTTGTTATGTTTTTCCACACATGTACTCTCATGTATGTACTCTCATGTATGTACTCTCATGTATCACCAAATTCACTGTGAATGAAGATGTTATTCATATTTTCTACGACTGCCAACAAACCATCATTATGTTGTATGGCAGGGATGTGTATGGAGCTAAAAAGGGGTGTATTGTATTGATTGATTGAACACACTAATGATGTTTAAAAAACAGCTAACATGCAAAGACTTTATTTGATGAGCCCACTCAAGTATTTGAATGCATATGGTGGCATGTTCTTATACTATGACAGCTCACATTATGATTATAATCAGGGGTGCACATAACTTTTTTGCCCTGGTTCTCAAAGGAGCACCTGGAGATGTTGCTTGGTGCTCATCCTTAAAATGAAATAAACTGTAACTTTTGAGGAGTCTTGACTTTATTTGCCAGACACACGGCACTGAACACACATGCAGAGGTGAACACAGAACACACATGCAGAGGTGAACACAAGACAACATTAGCACGACCAGTAATCCTACAAGCTGTCGACACTACCCTCCTGACTGTCCTCCTCTCTGTCAGACATGGTAGCTGATGATGTAGGCCTACTACTTTCTCTCTGGTTGAGTCTGCTATTAGCTGCTTGCATCCACAAGTCAACAGCTGGTTTTGGGTCGAAAGTCTCTGTTGTCATCTTAGACAAGTGGATGTAATCAAATAAGTATGTGAACATAACCAATAACCTACCATAGCCAATAACAAATTAATGTAACTTATTTTATTTGTGTTGTTCATATCTTATTTTACCTTAACATTTATTTATGCATTATTTTGATCTCTCCAGTTTTAAAGGATATTTTTGGTTTACTGTCCTATAGTATACATTGGAATGATTTCAAACCTGTTTATCTCAATAATTATAAAGGAGTGCCTTGGAAATATGTGTTTACATAAATTGTGATCAAAACGTTTGAGACCCACTGAGATAACTTAGACTAAAGTGAACTATCTAAACACTCAGACTCCTTTACCTCACTGAGCTGCAGTTATCAGCCTCTCAGTCTGACTGGAGAGGACTCTCCCTCCACATTATTGTAGAAACATCTTCTTCTTATATCCGTTAGAGCAGCTAGCACCAGATTCTAATAACAACAGCGCTGGTACCGGTGCACCCTCCCTCTCTCCCTCGCACTTTGGCTGTGAGCTGCGGGCGCCAGATAAGCCAACATCCCCCATTTTCATCACTTACAGCGCCCATCGTACAGGGCAAATGAAACGTGTAACCGGGGTGAAAAGGGTGTTACATTTACTTAATTATGAATATTGTTACATCAAGGCCGAAAATTAGGATGAGCCCCAACGGTCCAAAATGTTTTTTCCCTCCCAGAACTGCCAGCGCAGCGCCTCCACAGATCTGGCGCCCTAGGCGAACATCTATAACGCCAGTGCTACGGGCCGACCCTGAGTTCATATGCAACTCGCAAATGTCTTTCTCTCTCTCCTCTCTCCCTCTCTCAATGTTGGTACGCAAATGCGCATTTTTTCAAATGAGCCGGTGCTCTTTTTTTGGCGGAGGTGCGCATGCGCACCTGCGCACCAGTTATGTGCAGCCCTGATTATGATGATGCAATGACCATACCCTTGTTTTGCACATTCTTACTTAACTTCTTATGTTTATACTAGGGCCGGGACTTTAACGCGTTAATTAAGATTAATTAATTACACGAAAATTAACGCGTTAAAAAAATTAACGCATTTTAATCGCACTTATTTTTGCACCGCGGAACGTTTCTCACTGGATGAGTTTCAGGCGTACCGATTATACTGGAGCACCAACTAACGTTCATGACTTCAGACAACAACAAACCACAGTGAACAACAGTGGGAAATGTTGTTTTAAAAAACGGACGGATGGAAGCGTCGATAAGAGCACGGTTGTGTGCAAATTATGCAAAAAGGAATTCGCATACCACCGCAGCACATCAAGCCTCAAGTATCACCTCAATGCAAAAACATATAGCAGCTAGCGTGGACGTTAGCCTCTTTTATCGCGTTCACACCAAAAAGAGCCGGTACTCAAATTAGTTCATGAGAACCTTTTTACCCCCACGAAAGTCCCTGCTAGAGAGCAGAGAGCTGCTAGAGAGCAGGGACTTTCGTACGGCTCTCTTGTGAGAAAAGAGCTATATTTCTGATTGGCTGGGTGGATTGCAAACCACGCCCCGTAAAACTCCCAAAAAGTTTGGTGAAGCCGCCATTTTATTATCCTCGCATTAGCATTATTAGCATTAGCCCAGCGCAGAAACGCAGAGAGACTAACTTATGGCAACACAAAATAAAACATGGGAGCGGTGGAGATGAGGAGGTGTCGGCGTTCTGGCGATTTACTCGGAAGGCTGCTGGGACTCCCAGCAGCTTCTACTGAAGCCAGTCCCCCAACTCCGGGGACTTCCGGCCGGGGACTTTGGGCCGGCAGTATACGCCGTGAAGTGGTTTGCGGCCTGCCAGTAAACCCAAAGCAGAAGAAGAAGAAGTGACGTCAGCGGCTTCATTTGCCTAATCCACCCCCAGGTTCAAAGAGTTCTCATGAACTAAGTTCTCATGAACCTTTGTGGGAAAAGTACTGCGGTGTGAATGCGCCTAATGGTATACTAAAATCCATGTAAAAAATTGCTTCTCACTGTTCTTAGGTCAAATATTTATATGTGATTAAAAATGCGATTAATTTCGATTAATTAATTACAAAGCATCTAATTAATTAGATTAATTTTTTTAATCGAGTCCCGGCCCTAGTTTATATACATATTTGTAATTTGTTATTAATCCATTATTATATTCTAAAATGGAGCAATCGTCAGAATACCTTATTTCCCTCGGGATAACAAAGTGCTCTGATTCTAATGTATCTCTTTATAGTTATATGCATCCTATTAAAATATGATTGCCAATACTAAGACCAACAGAAGCAGATTACAGCCTTGTTCAAATTAAAACACCTTGTGACAGAAGCCACGTTTAGATGTAGTTTAACATAAGTTACGCATCAGATCATTATGTTCCATACTGATGTTAAACTCCGTCTGGAGCCCTGATTTGCACACGTCACTTCAGGCCCACTCACCCTCCAGCAGGACTGTCTCCGGTGTTTTCCATTGTTGTACGAGTGACTGTGAGCATCACTGAGGGTCAGAGAGATGAAGTCCTTTCTGGAAGGCGGATACATCCTCTGGTCGTGGCAGACAGACGTAGCTCATAGAAGCTGCATGCAGACAAGTCAAAAACATATTAAAATCTGAAAGTAAAGTACATTTGATAATTGTGCTGAAATCAAATGACTGCATTTATGATCAATCCATGATCCTGATGATATTTTAAATGATATTTTCTAATTTTTTATTCATGACCAGTATGGTGTGGTGTTTGCTAATCCTTTTTTAAATTGTCAAGTTGATTTTCAGCAGCCACAATGTAAACGTGCACCTGAATGAATAGTTAAAACATTCCAGAGGGTTAAGGATTGTTTCTGCTTGATTGGAGTTGTTTAGCTAAGAGAAATAGCTTAGCTGAATTGACCAACTTAACTTTCTTCCACTCAGGTTGACTGTTGAATGTGTATTTGGCTTTTTGTAATGTAACACACATGCATACATACTGCCGTTGATTTATTTCAGTTATGCATAGCAAATTCTCCATTGTTTCTTTAGATGATATTGCTCACAATGTTGAACATAACATTGCGATTAACATAAACTTTAGGATCTTTAGTAAGGTTTTGGGAAAGGGAGTACTTAGAAAAACACGTAACGCTTATATCGATTGTTACCGCTTTATCACAGACTAAAATAGGAAAGAGCTTCAAAGGAAAGCTTAATGGAATATTATTTTGACAATTAAATACCATGGGCTTTTCTTGCAGCTAGCAAGTTCACTTAAAGCACACAGTGACGTTTCAACTACCATAACTGTGAGAATGCACTCAAAAATGCAAAGTAAGTTATACAAAAACAAATAAATAGCTACATGGCAGCCCGTTGCTGTCAATAACAGCTAATTTTATTTGTTCATTTGACACCTCGGTTACAACTTTCGACACATCAGTGACGTGCTGTTTAAACACATCGATACACAATATAAATATTGCAACATAAGCTGCCTCCCCCTCACCTTTGAGTCAGGTTGGTAGCCTCACAGTGACACCTGAAAGCTAAGCAGCTGTTAGCTACCTCCGAGAGGCTAGCTTGCTTCTTCGGCTTGTTCCTGAATGAAAAGTGACGCTGTTCGGCAGAAGGAATATTAAACATGCAACACAGCAGTCCGTCCGACTGTCACACACGACGACAGGCAGCTACATGAAATGTCAAACGAGAGAAACTGAGGGAAACATGGCTAAAGTTAGCAAGGGAACAACCACTGACAGATGCGGAAAAGTGAAGAGCTCGAGCGATGGTGCTGCGCGTCACGTGACGTGTCACGTAATGTGACGCTTTGAAAGTTAACCCTTAACAAGCCAAACAGTGTTCACCGCTGATATATTATATCAGGGGTGGGGAACCTTTTTCCTCTCAAGGGCCATTTCAACATCCTCCGAGGGCCGTACAAATTATTGACCTGTGCTTACAAATCACAGCCCATTCATTTGGCCTTTCTTTCATGCTTTGCAAAGAAAAAGCAACCTCTTAATCCAGATATCTTGCCATGACTCGCGTATGCATGCACATGCACGGTTGTGGCATGCCCACCAAACAGAAAGATATGGACACAAGATGTGTGCATATGCATTTAGTTTCCTATCCATGTGGACATGATTTAAGTGGTGGGGGTGGGGGGGGTGGGGGGGGCATGCTCCGGGAAGTTGAAAGCATCAATCTGGTGCACTTTGAGAGCAAAATGAAGAGCTCTATGGATACATCTCAACACCCATATGAAACAGAACTGTAAGCAGATTTACTTTTTCTTTATGAATATTTTCCAAATCACTCTCCTTTTAAACTGTATTCTTGTTTATTAATAACAACTTTTTTTTTACTGTCATATAGTATTTTATACCTGGTTTTTTTTGTATAACTATAATGATCATATAAAGATGTGCCTTTACCTCACTGGTTGTAGAAATAGCTTCTCATATTCGTTAGCATAGCTAGCTAACCAGATGCTAATAACAGCAAAGTTATTGACTGTATGATCAGTATGACAGATGAGCAGATCGCCACTGGGCTTACAACTAAAGACACAGCCACGCAAAAACTGCGGCATGTGTACCGCTCCTAATTTCTAAAGTCCCGGAGCGTCGTTCTGGTGCTCTCCGTCAGAACTGCACCCCTGTGACGAGACATATACCACGTGATGACACGTTAGGCTCGTGTTGTGTTCAAGGACCATGACCGTTGCCAGGAAAAACAGGTACTCGCTTGTTTAATTATTTTGCGTTCTAGATTTCTTAATTTTTTTTCTTTTTTGCGTGTTTATAAATTACCTCGAGGGCCATACCAAATGGTCTCGCGGGCCGTATACGGCCCGGGGGCCGGAGGTTCCCCACCCCTGTATTATATAAACGCAACCGTTTCATACTATTTCAGGTAATTTGTGTTTCATTACAGCCGTTCTTGAATTCCTTGAAAAAAATGTGTATAGACCTAATTTCATTTATCTTTTACAGTTTTGCTCCATTGATGCAGTAAAACCGATTTTGGGATTTACTGACATTACATTAAAAAAATAATCTGCATGAAGTTTACTGGTCCAAATTATACCAGATCTACAAGATGACACGTTTTTTCATTAAATAAATGTAAACTTAATTGCCTGTCCTGAGGGATGTCTTAGGATCATTATGTGTTTACATCTGTCTATTAATTACTCCCTTATTACATATTCACAGTTCATCCAAATGAGGTTTGATAGGCCTGTTAAATGGCTCATTATACCATAAAAGCAGTCAGCAATGAAAGATTGACTTTGACAAATCATAAAATCATGTCAGACTCGTGCACTCATGACCTCTTGTGGGTGAAATTAGTCAATCAAGTAATCAAATAAAAAACAACCCAGGAGAGTAATCGCCGTTTAGTTACTCCAATAATATGCACTGCGGGGAAATTATAAAGCTTTCATAAGTTAATACTGAGCAGTACAAGTAAATAGGACATTGTTTATGATGACAGTTGCATGAAGAAATAAAGGAGAATCTTACTAATATATTTAAAATAAAAGGTTAAACAAATAATTACGATTTATCCAGTATATATATTTTTCAGAACTACTAAAAAGATTGACAAATCCTAATGTAATTGTGTCAATAATTCAACCTGCTAAATAAACTGCATTCAAAAGTACAACAACTCCATTTAGATGTTAACCATCATTTGGACAGCATTTCATTTGTCGAATAATTTGATTTATGACCAAATAATTTTGATAAAATACACTTGAGTCAACAATAGGTTATGTTTTTTTTAATTCAGCTGACACAATTCTTTGAATGAGCTGATGAGGGGATCGCAAGACAAATATCCAGCATGTCATTTTGAATATCTAAAAATGATAATTTGTACAAAACAAGGTTACAATGATCAGTCTCAGCCAGCTAAGGCAATCATATGAAATGATAAGACAAATCAAAATATAAAAAGAATACACCAGGCCAGAATTGCATACAAACTTAAGCGTACATTTCTTACTATAAGCACTTGCACTTATCAGCCTTGTGAAGAATTTGCTAACCCTCTAAATATCTACAGCTGATGATTTGGTATAAGCATGTTTTGTTTTGTTTCTGCAGAGCTGCTGTTTTGGTTGAGACGTTAGACCACAAACTCCCTGAGATCTCACGCAAATGAATCCTCTTCAGCCTGCAAGCCGTGCACACCCCTCATCACTCACTGCTGACACTCTGTAGGACACAAACACAGAATCCTGATGCTGCAGAGTAGATACAAAGCTTGCTTCTTTTCTCTGGATCCAATCACTTTCCAGATGGATTGAGGCACAAATGCAGGTCAACAGCAATTACTCAATGCTAAGTGGTGGTGATAGGCACAAAGTAGCTCTGCAGGACACGGCTACTGCGCTTGGCAAACGTATGCACGATCTTTACAGTACATTGAAATACATTACAGTATTGTTTGGAGTGGAAATAAGTGGATGTGTCAGGACTGGCTGCTAAACTTTGGTCTTTGGTTTACATGAGAATACCAGAGATAAGCAATCTCCAAAGTACTCTTGAATGTAACATTTATCTTGTTAAAACAATAATCTCAACCCGTTGTAGAGTGTGACAGTCTACAACATATGAATAAGGCAACAGCTACATTTGTATTTCATAGACCTTAAACTGGGGAACATGGTTGCTTGAAAATCAATCTGAATGTACAATCTGTTTGAAATATTGTGTCACTAATCTCTCATCTTTGTTATTGGTTAATATGGTAAAAATGCTGATTAGCCACATTTTTTGCCTTTTTTCTTGAAGACAAATTGTGCAGGAGTTCAAACACAGTTCAAGAATAGCATGATGTTTTCTTGTTACTGGCAGAACCAACCCAATGCTGGTTTTGGTCTTTTCACAGATTTTTCCTTTAACCTTTTTTTAGTCTTCTTTTAATGCCAAACTACAAACCTAAAGAAACTCACTATAGCAACAGCAGCTGTAGTTCCCATGTGTGTACTGTATCATTAATGTATCATACCTGAGACGTCAAAAGTAAAACCATACAATAACATGAAACTGTTAAAACCATCTTGTGCATTTTACAAAATGAGGAACGTTGGTGCATCCTAAGCAAGTCTGCATAAGATCATGTGATTGTTTTAGGGATTAAAGAAATAATCTTTCAAATAAAAAGCTATTAGCACCTTGAGAAAAGTCACTCACAGTACCAACGTAGGGTTTTACTGGCCTGGTCACTGGCCAATGGGACCACAGTAGCTGTGTTCCCATGCAGAACACATTGTTACGGCTTTTATATACACAATGGGCCGGCTATGACAGAGGCCCAAAAATACATAACAAAAATCAAACGGAGAAAATAAACAATTGTATATAAAGGATAAAAAAGACATACATTTTTAAATTATTCAAAACAAGATAAACGTCTCTGTAAACAAACTTGACTTCTCCGTGGAAAGAAAGCCTGAGGACGCTTGTGTCCTCTCAAATTCATGAATACGGAGTCACTCAAATTGAGAGTTCGAATCCCCAAAAACAAGAGGAAAGGGAGGGACATCTTCAGGAAAGGGAAGAGATGTTCCGGTTGTCCTCTAGGTGTCCAGTAGTGAACGGGTTAGTGTCCTAGCCCTTGGTGTTCTAGGACTGCATTGATATTTTAGCACCTTTAGCTGAAACACACAGGTCCCACAGTGAAGCTGAACTGATGTGTCGAGTTGCCGCCTCCCATCAGTGCTACGTCTCTCAGAGGAAGCAGCTGGAGGTCCTCAAACTCAAACACAGACTCCCGAGTGACAGAAACGCTCTCCTCTCCAGGCTGAGACACAGGGGGCAGAAGACATCATTATCATAAAATTATATTTCCTGTGAACCCTAAAATGTTTAAGTGTCAAGACTTTTGGTATTTTGTTTGATTTCAAATAACCATTATTTTGTATTTCATAGCTTTCTCTTAGATTTAAATAATTGTAAAATCCCGTAACATACCACGCAGTCTTTAACTGCTCCGACAAAACTCTGCCTCCTGCTGTCAGTGAGGAACTTGATGTCTCGGTCCACGGGGCCCAGTCTATGTCCTGGGTGGCAGGAGAAGGTCAGATTCTGGAGCGCAGTGCTGCTGTGCAACCTCAGGAAACGCATCTGCACCACATTGGCTCCTGGATAGTAAAACTAGTGAGAAATAACAACAATGTCATGGATTATCAATACAGGCTGGTACGGAAGAACAGTAACAATGATTTAAAAGGTCAAAACAATCATTAAGAGAATGGAAATTACAAAACGTCATTAGTCAAATAATCAATTGTGTGACAGAAAACAACAATAACTGAAAAAGCTTCAAACCTCCTCCAGATAGAAACCTTGTAATTGCAAAGGGTTAAATGGCCCTCTATGTGCACTGGTGAGCAAACAGCACCTTTTAATGACTGATTTTAAATGCCATTTTCTTAATCTCTTTCATTTTTTGTAAAGCACTTTGAATTGCCTTGTGTTGAAAAGTGCTATATAAATAAACTTGCCTTGCCTTGCCTTGCCTTGCCTTGCCTTGCCTTGCCTTGCCTTGCCTTGCCTTGCCTTGCCTTGCCTTGCCTTGCCTTGCCTTGCCTTGTGCTTCCATGTGTATTTGCAAGTATTTAAATAAGATACACAGAGTCAGTCAAATTACAAGTGTCACATATATAAGAAACAGAAGCAAATGTATTGCCTGCCATCAGACTGTGAAATTACATCCCAAAACTCAGTCTCTCTCTCATGTTTAAATGTTGCCTGAAGTTTGGAGTTTTTTCTCAGAATCAGAATAACTTTA